TGCCTTCCGAAGCACGGAGTAGTTAGAGATAATAATTTTTTGGTCACCCATCCCGTGACCGACCCTTGCGAAAGTTGCTTAAGGACTACGATCGCGGGCCGCGGCGCTTATCCACTACGCCACCGAGCAACTGTAATTAAATAAATAATTGCATATCTTTAAGTAAAATGACTAAGTTATGATACTTTTCTTCTTTTTCTATATCTATCTGTTATTTATCTTCACATCAAATCCTGCCTTTACAGAGATAGACTGAGTGGAACCTTACGCCTTTCGTTCCCTCGAATTTCATTACTCTTTTGAAACATACTCACCGGTTTTATATAGCTCTCTGATAGGGCACACTTAATCTGATCGTGACAGATAGATCTTCACCGGCTTCTATATCATACCACTTTCAATTCTTATTTTATATCTTTTCCGTCTACGCCCGATATTCTTTTTATTATACCAAGCCAATATCTTTATTGTTTACGCCGTCTGCGACCGTTACTTCGCAAATTCTAGAACATACGATCCGTTACCTACTTGACATATGAGATAGCTTTTTTGGCGTTGGGACCAGTACAGCGTTATATAAGATCTTATCCCAACGCTTCGTGTATTCTATTCTCCGCACTCACTCATCTCTCTACCTCGGAACTGTATATACCATCCCAGCCGAAAGCACATCCAAGATATATAAAGTCGTTCACTTGCTCCAACACTACACCCTTGACTGCAATACCTTCATACGTTCTGGTGGTTTTACATTATTCTTTTTCATATTTAATTGCAATTTAATTTAGAAACTAGATCGCCCATTGGCAATCCCACGTTCATACTTTATTATCTGAAGAAAATTGTAATCTTGACAATATAAGACAGTCTTGCAGACTGCACGCAACCCTGCTTAACCCAAATTTAGGCCCGAGAATTTCCGACCGTGGCAGAAAGTTGATAATCCACAAGTCTACAAGTAAATCATTTTAAAGCCTTTTATTCAAAGGAATTACACAATTTGGTAAAATACTACAATGATATTGACGTATATTATATTAATTCTGTCAAAGCATTCTTCTTATTTATACGCCATGGTCCGACGAGCTACAGCAACCACCTTGACAAAATGCAATCTATCCTGTGTCATCATTTTTAGAGTGGCTGTGTGCCAATTTCCAGCATTGAAACGTTTTAAGGCACCTTATAGTGGACGTCTATTTCAACACAATGTAACAATACCAATTTTTCCTTGCAAAAATAACACACAATACATCATAACTGATAATTTAATCTCCATTAGAAAAGTCAACCTTAACATTGATTAGACCTCATAGAAAGTCAAAACTGGTAAACCAGATTCTTTGCCGATCATACTTTCTCTGATATCTTAATATTCCTAAACCAGTACATAGATCCCTCTTTTCCCCTTTAATTTTCTCGTTTACATCACTTTAAATTGTTTATTTAAAATTTAACATTTATTATTTCTATAAATGTGCACAAAATAATAAATGTTTCTTTTATTTCCTGTGGTTAGTAATTCTTCATTCCCTTAAGAAAATATATGTTGGTAGTTCTATCTGTTTCAAAATTCATTGTACTATCATATCACATCTCAAATACATCTATTTTGTGATCCAAAAATATTTTATTTTTTGTGTTTTATTTTCATCTGCAATCAGTTTATTAGACTTGAGGAAATTTGTTCAGTATCTTTCTCTGTGGGAGTGTGACTGCAGTGAGCTATCTACTCTAAATTACTATTCAAGTCTCCAGAGGATGGAGAGACTATAGTATGTCTTTTTTTTTTCAGACGTATCAAGTAAGATTTTATCCTCAGTGCTGCAACGTGGTCATTGGGATGTCTTTCTAAGCGGTCTTGGTATCTTTCTTTGTGCTTTTGAATTTTCTCCTGAACGGTGTCTATCATCAGCTTCTTATGTATTTCGGTATTGGTGACGAACCAAATAACACCGCTTATTGAGCGGAATATATAACGTTCTGCATTTTTTGTACTTTGTTAATATTTTATGTGGACGCACTGCCCCAAAGTTGGATTCCGTATAACCATATCAGCTTAATGACGACTTTGTAGATGAGGAGTTTATTGTCTGTAGCCAATTTGCTGTTGCAACCCAGTGAAGGTTTTTGAAGCTAATATTGAGCTCTTGCCTCTTGGTCTTTATATAATGGGCCCAAGTCAAGCGACGGTCAAGATGAGGCCCCAGATATTTTACTTGATCTCGGTGTGGCAATGTAACATTTTCAAATTTGACTGAACTTGGACTGACTTGCTTGCTTTTATCCGCCAATATTGTAGCCATGTTGTTATTTTATCAAGTCCCTTCTATAATATCTTTGATGCCACGACTCTTTGATGCTATTAATTGCTAAGATCGCGGCGTCATCGGCAAACGTCGCCGTTGTAACACCATCATCTTGAGGTAGGTCTGCTGTATATATTGTGTACAAAATTGGTCCCAGAACAGAACCCTGCGGTACTCCAGCCTTTATATCGTAAAACTTTGATTTTTTGTCCATATCTTTCACTTGAAATATTAAAAAGTTATCCAAAAGTGAATAAAAAAAGCGTTTTTTAATATTCCCATTAAACCGCCCGATTGCTATATAGCTGTTACAATAAGTATACAAAAGATTGACGTCATAATATGGAGAACATTAATGCATGGTCGTGTTGGTGCCAAAATCAAAACTAAAAATTTTATAAGTACCTGGATGGCCGAACTTTTTTTTTTTCTAAAAATGACACATAACTAGAGCGATATATTGCCTCCGAAACCTCCTGCATATTAAATTTCATGAAAATAATTTAAAAATAAAAAACATGATTGCCAAAATATAACACAAAATAATAGAAACAAATTGTATTATAACTTGATTAAACAAATCTCATTGCATTTAGGGGACTGGTTTGTGGAACATTTGTAATTTAAGAAGGTAACAAAATAAATAATTAATATCTCTGACTGAATATAAGTTTCATATATTATATTCATCACTATTAATTACCCTATGGTAGAACTATTGTAGAAAAGGAAAGAAATAGTTTTTACATGTTAAATATATTTATAATAAATGCAAAATTAAAGTGTATTGGTTTTGTAATCATTAGTCAAATCATATATATCATATGAAATGATACGAGAACAATTTTACAGTTTTTAGGTACCTTGACGTCCAGAGTTATCTAAAATTCTTATTAACAGGTGTTAAGGTAATTTGATTTCTCCAAATAATATCAGTAATAGTTATTTATCTATAGAATAATAATGCAGTGGGATTTTCAGAAATGAGTGCACAATATTCTTAATTCTTAGGGCTTTGCTGACTAAAATAAGCATGGGTCATCGGGAAATTGAAACGTAATGATGAATCTTATAGACACTGAAATGTACAAAAGCAGACCCAAAATAGGACCTTGTGATATACCTTGTCAAACGATTTAAGGATGAAACAGCATTCCTTTGGAAAATATTTTTTTGCCATCTGCTTGCCATCAAGATTACATATGAATTGTACATGCTCTTTAACTTAAATGACAATAAAAGACTCCGTGTTAAAAAAAGTCATGTTTTAAGAATCACAGATACACATAAACTATTGAATATATTTATATGTAATGTAAAAAGGACCAACACAAACAAAAATATATGTTAAATTTGAGAAATTTAGAATAATAGGGTATTGCATCTATTTTAGATAGTATCTCAATTCAATCCTAAGGTACTGATATACCCTGGAAAAAAATATTACTTCATGGTTGACCTAAAATTTGTACCAGACTTTTCCTTATTTTCAAGAAAGTGAACACCCTGTTTAAATTGCTTGTGAAAACTACTAACGCGGGAAAGAACATATCAACGCGGAAACATCATCTGTTTTCTATTGGATCAATTAAGCCTGCTCGATTCGGGGAACTACAACTGAATACATACTGTAGCAAATTCTCTCTTTTTTAGTGAACAGAGTAACCTTTCCCGTATGATATATTAAAAAAATGGTAAGTAATAAAAAAAAATCTTTCATAAAGTATCAAAAAATAATGTCCTAGTGAAAAATTCAATCAATTCAAAATTTCGCTATGATTTTTAATTTGATTTTAAATGTCTTAAATAACCTCCACTACATTAATAGCAGGCATGTTATTAATTAATAATGTATTAATTGTACAAGTAGCACAATTTCTATATATGCATTCTTCTGTAAGGTAAACTGAATACCTTTGTAACAATGTTTAAGAGTGTAAGTAAATTGAAGGAAATAAATGGGTACATTTATTTCTTATTCCTAACATGAAACAAAACATTAAACGCCGTAAACTAAAACCAGTGTTCCTGCTAATAGTTATCCCATTAGTAATTATTTGACCAACTCAGATTGTCTTTAGTGAGACTTATTGGTAAAAAGCTTACATATTTTGAAAGCTTTCGTAGTTAAAGATCACATAACAGGGCTTTATCTCAAAGGAATCTTTTTCATGACAATCGTAATTTGTTAAGTAGTTATTAATAATCTGTGTATAACGTCATGATAAAGATCCCATCATTTTTACCTTAACACTCGTGATATCCTTCCTTGTTCTTAATTACAATTTTAGTTGTATCACCATCTCAAATAACTTTATGCTTTTTCAAAGTAACATTTCATAAAAATTCGTACATGCGAGAAGAAAGCATTGTAGTTTGTCCCCCTGTAATAAATCCCTTAAAGATACTTAGGCCCGCCCGTGTATCGAAGTTGTTAACCCTTGCAATTGGGTCACACCTCTAGCACAACCCTCTTGCAGGTAAGAGGTGCCGGGCCTGTAGGAATAAAATACACAGCATTAATGAAATGAATTCAACACATGAGCCATCGTGTGCTCCACAGCTCGCGGCTCAAACGAGCTGCTGTTCATTACTACTATAACAGGTTAATATACCTCCGAAACAGAGCGGTGATGCATTATGATGGCTCAAGTGAGCTTAGTCTAAATAAAAAGGTGACAGTGATCCTACCTTCAATAGGGTATTAATCTCTCTCAGTGATGTGATTGGGAATCCTTCCTTTTCCTTTTCCATTTTGAGCCGCTTCAAAGCTACAATCTCATCTGTGGTTTTATCACGAGCTCTGTAAACAACTCCATATGTGCCTTCCTCTATTCTATTCAGACATTGAAATTCCTCAACTGATCGACAACCCTATAAAATGACAACAATTAACAAAACAATCAAGACATGTAATGGTCATACCATTACAAATCTATTTATTGATGTTTTATGAATGTTCAGGTAAACATTTAAGAATATTTGAGATAAGAGAAAACAAAAATATATACCTTCATCAAATCACATTTGGAAAACATGCAAGCATATCAAAGTTTATTCATTTCACTGTTTATAATGACAATGAATATAATATACCTGTAAGGCTGGATAATAAGGTGGTAGTGCATTGATAGCTTCTTCTCTTAACTTAGCTTCAGCTTCATCCTCTTTGGTCTTTTCTTCTTCATCTGCTGGTTTACCATTCTCTGCTGATGGTGGCGGTGAAAATGAATGAGATCTACTTCTACTCTTTGATCTAGAACCACTCCTGCAAGATTTTTCATTGTTTAATTTTAATGGCAAATAATTGCCTACTCATATTATATGTGATACTCAATTTAACATAACAGGGCGCTTACCTTCGTGATCTATGAGATGATGGCGTTCGACGAGCTGATTGTGGGCTCGGCGATTTGGATTTAGATTTTTGTCTTAACTTTTCAACAGCCCGCTCTTTTGTATCCTCTTTATCAGATTTTATATCATCCTTATTGTCATCATTATCATCTTCAGACTTTGAATTAACTTCAGAGTCAGACTCTGTGCTAGTACTATCATCTTCAGAGTCACTGTTAGTATGTTCACCTAAAACAAGATAAATATTGAATAAGCTTTTAAATGACAATGTCGAAAACTTAATAAAAAGTTATTGTTTCACCAAAAAGCACTTTGGTGCTTTTTTTAATTAACGAAAGCTCAAACTCACCATCTTCAGCTTCGGAATGTGCCGATTCACTTTTCATTTCAACATCACTGGCATCAGAAACAGTTACTACAGAATCACCATAATTAGGTGAGTGTGTGTTCCTAGATTTTTTGTTTGATATCTCTTCTGATGATGCTGAGCGTTTCCTACCACGACGTCTACGCTCTTCACGTCTAGCTTCCAGTTCATTTCGGGATTCATGTTTTCTTTTTTCCATTTCACGTTCTAAAAGTAAAAAAAAAATAGCAATACTCAATATAATTTATGGATAGCAAATCATCTATTAAAAAATAGGAAATATTAATAAGCCTTACCAGCTTCTAGTAGTTTTTTCCGTCTCTCTTGTTGATGCTTATCCAAGGATGCATGACGTTCTGCTTTTGATGATCTGTCATCATACTTTTTGGAATCTTGACTCTGTAATTCTTTTGATATCCTTTTGCTAAGCAATCGTGATCTCAAATCTTCTAGCTCTTTATCTCCTGATGTCCTATCTCTATTTTCTTTCTCATTATAATGGTCAATATTGGTCTCCCCTGCTAATGTTCGTAATCTGGTCTCTATTTTTTCATTTTCAACACGTTTACGATCACTCTCTGTATATTTATACTGCCTTTCTCTGCTCATAAACAGTTCACGATCTCTTTGAGTATCTTTTTCTTTGTACACATCCTTTTCCCTATAAACTTCTCTTGATCTAGCAGTGTCCCTGAATGATGCATCTCTGTAAACTTCTCTTTCTTTGTAATGATCTCTTTCCCTGTAATTATCTTTTTCTCTATATAACTCCTTTTCTTTATATGCATCCTTGTCTCTTTCACGATATAGATCCTTTTCTCTGGCTTCTTTATCCCTGAACACATCTTTTTCTCTATAAAGTTCTTTTTCTCTGTAAACTTCTTTCTCTCTATATACTTCTTTATCTCTGCTGAAAGCATCCTTGTCCCTATTATATTCTTTGTCCCTAGCATACACTTCTTTATCACGGGCATAAGCTTCTTTTTCTCTATACAGTTCTTTATCTCTATATGCATCTTTTTCTCTGTAAGCATCTTTCTCTCTATAATATTGTTTTTCTCGGTAATAATCTTTGGCAATGTCTTCACGGTCAGAATTTTTACTGATATCTCTTTTTGATTTGTCAGACTTATCACGGTCCCTGTTAAAAAATGTTTAGGATTTGATTTATACAATCCCCAATGTCAGATGACAGACCTTAAAGGACATAATATATATGAAAAAAATTATATGCAAATATTACATGCAATAACATAATGCTTACACAGCATTTTAAGCTATTACCTTTGTAATGATAGGTTAAAAAAGTATTATAAATATACTAAATCAAGCTTTAATTTGTCTACACACTTCTTTATAAAGTTTTCAAACAATTGTGGTAGGGGAAAACAAATTTTGGATATTGAAAAGTGCTTGTAATAAGTTTATTTGAATTTACAACTGGTTGAGAGTATGAATGTGGGAGATTGTTTAATTGTAAACTGGACAATGTCAATAAAGAAAAATTAAAAGGTGAAATGGTTTAAATACTAAAAATATATGTATATTATTTACAAACAATATTGTGTGGTTTATTTAACATATGGGTACTTAAATGCATGTATGTTGCTGTGCTCTGACAGGGTTTATGTTATGGTGCTGTATTTACATACCCTAAAATGTTTGACATGACCAAGTGAATGAACAAAAAAAACTTTTCAGTAACTAATATAAAGAATATAGAAGGTAATTTGCATAAACTAGTAACCTTGCAGGACTAGATAGCAAGAGTCATTAACAAATGACATGAAAATACAGTTGCTGTACATAGTACATATAAATATCTAAAAAAATAGGTATATAGATACTTCAAGTAACACTTTTTTCACAAAATAAATTATAATAGATTGGATAATTTATCATAGAATATATCATGGCTTATAAGCGATTGATATTCTGAACCCTCAAGTTATGCTATGTAAAAAAAAACAAAATCCGAACCTAAAAAATAAGTGAAAACGATTAGCATGATTTTTGTTCAACATTATCTACAGATACACAGAATAACAGTCACACCCATTCTCATAGGTGGTCATTTTACTTACATATTAGTTTGAAATGGTGCTTAGTGATATGTAATGTTATTGACATTAGAGCAGTATTTAAAATGATTTATGTATTAAAATAAAGGTAATGAAATATGAAAAGTTATCAAATAAGCATTGTTATTGTGGATATTAACTATCTAGCCTTACAAGGTTGTTGGTGTTTTACAAATGATATATATATAAAAAGAAATTATTATCAAATATTTTCAAAAAATAATATTGCTATTTAATATACCTGTATAAATGCTTCTTGTCCTTCCGTGCACTGTCCTTATATCTTTCTTTCATGGTTCTCTTGTGATTTCGCTTATCGCGATGTGATGGACGAATTACCGCCTGAGGTGGTTTAATGTCTAAAGAATCAGCATGATCACGATCTTCATCTGATAAGCTAAAAAGTACACAATTGTTTATTATTAAAGCTAATGATAGACTCATGGTGATTGACAGACTTTTAATGCGGTTGTCAGTCAATCTCAATTCCAGTTCTAACAATATGCATGAGAACATACCTCATAATTAAATGCTCTTCTTTTTTATCAGCCTGTCGTCATACAATAAAAACTGTCATAAAGCCTTCGTGTTAATTTTTTTGTGTACCTCTTACGCAAGTGAATTATAAATATAATACGGAGAAAGAAACACACATTTTTTTTATTTCTAAGCGACAAGGTACAATGCAGGATCATCAGAGGTAAGCGATAATACCTATTTGAATTGTGCACCTTTGTTCGCAGTGAACGAGGATAAATCAAAAAACGAAAAATTTAATCATCACGCTGGCGCACCTATGTACTTTGCAATATAAAATAAACAAAGTTCTTAATTCCTAAAGATTTATTATATCGAACTGTAATCAAATTTACATGTAATGCATACCTAAAATCCATTTCTTCCTGTACTGGACTGCGTGCTAATTCTCCATCTTCACTTTGGTCATCTTCGTAATTACTCATGATTTAATATCAGGCAATGAACACAGATACAAAAACACAATATGAACTATTCTGTTCAACAAAAATTAAAATAAATTTAAAAGGTATGGAAACTTGTTATTGCACTTTACACAAATTCTTCGCAAACTCACAAACGAAAAAAACCACGCAGGAACACTAACGCCAACGATGGAGGAAATAAGACGCCATTTTAAAACTAATGGTGTGCGGAATCGATATCGATTATTCGATTAATTGATTTTTCAAATAATCAGTTGCTATCGATTATTATTTCCTTATCGACGATTGACCATATATTAACGTTAGCAATAGGGATTAGTATAGTACCTACTTACTATTCTTCGATGGCTCAGCAACCCATAGCGGATCGCGAGTGTGAATATTATTAGTAAATATTCTAATACAAATAGGAAACTTTACTCTTTAGTCGGGGAACTCCCAATGAATGAATGAACGGATCTTACAGACTAATTTTGATGGGACTTTCACTGGCAGATAGCTAATGTAATAAGGAATTACATCTAGTTTAATTCTATAAATTTTGCATGCACACTGGTATAGAAAACATTGTCTTAAAATTGGTTTTTAACTATTTGGCATTCATTTACTTGGATGTCTTAAAAATACGGGGGAATTAATCTGAAATCATTAATAAACGTTTGGGGTAAAAATATTTAATAATCGGTGACATTACCGATTAATAGATATATATAATAATTGAATCGGCACATCATTCTTTAAGGGGTATGTTCCGATATACACTGCGACCACTGAACAGTATGACGTCAATTTAGCATACTGGAAACCCGTTCCTTTATAGCTAGTTATACTGGTGACTTTTTAAAACGGAACGCAGTCCAGGATACTGTTAATCCTATTTTTTGGCGCCATTTTCAAATTTGTTAATGCAAGGTGAATATAAATATAAAGATTCCCTCTTTTCAAAAGAAAATATTATAAAATTGGAAAATTGTATAAAAAATTATTTATCCATCTTATAATAAACGTAAGTATTTTTTTTTTTGTTTATTTAGAAACTTATCATTTTCTGATTCTGTTTCGACTGATCACGTGATCAAAAGCACTGCGAGCACCTTACCTCGAAATCTCCAGTGCTCACAGTAAAATATGGCGGCAATTTATGACGTCATGAATTTCCCTAGGGTACTGTAGCAGTGTACTGGTAGTCCATAACGGAACGGATTTTTCAGCAGTAAGACCACTGCGCAGTGCTCGTAGTGTATATCGGAACATACCCTAAAATAAATGAATTAGGGATGAGCGATTATTACTTAAAGAAATCGAATCAGTCGATAGTTCAGCTTAATTGATTTGAATTGATTACACTTGATGTTATCGATTGTTGTTAACAACTAAACCTTGCGGCGGCAGCGGGCGGCTATTACACGCTGCGCTTACCGTAATTACTTATTCGATTAATTTGTAGCGCAGCGCCATATGACTATACACGTTCGTACTACTTATGGTGCAAAAATCAAAAATCAAAAATTTTTGAATTTTCAACTTTTAAAATTTCAGTTTTTTAATATGTTAGTTAAAAGGAACGGAAATGAGTATCTTTGGTCCATTTGTTTCCTGCAGTAGATTTTTCTACTTTTGCTAGAGTCGTCATCTGATGGAGGTGGTTTTTATGCTATCTTTTTTTTAAATTCATCCTCATTGAAAATAAACAATATATTATTTTTGACATTTGGATCTGCCATTTTTATATGATTATTCATTGTCGTGTATGAGAGCACACGATTTTATTTCGAGATGAAGATAGCACCTACAACCATGACACGTATTTTTAAAAGATGAGAAGATAAATGACAAAGGAAAATCTTTTGTTGATTTTTTTTTAAATGAAAACCATTAATTTTATATCATTGCTATGCTCCATTGATTCACAAAATTTTAATAGCTAGCCTTGATTTCAATCTGAAGTAAATATATATGAACACATCTACCGGAGTTACGTCACAATGACTACACAGTTATTAAAATTTTGTGAATAATCACAATAAACTTAGATATCAATACAAACCAGTGTTGGTTAGCGATATTTTTCAAGTCTCATTTCTCAATGATATTAACCTTAGACTGGAATAAATTCATTAAAATTTTGGATATAGTTTCCCTTAATACGGCATATACACGATGTAGGAACCGTAATGGTACTCGGTACATTGTATTGTTTCGAGTTGCGGATTATTTTGGGTTTATGCAGCCCAGTATCACTGCGACCATTGCTGATCTATTGTGATCTCCACATACTACAGTTCACGGTCAGGATTACATTTTACAAGGAACTGTAGTATTTTGTTGGCCGTAAGTTCTTTAATATCGTCTGGGTGCATCACGTGCTTTCCCAGATAGATACATCGTTTTCGCATTAGTGACGGGCAATCAGTCAAAATGTGCAAAGGTGTTTCTTTTTCTCCTTGCATCCTCTGCACATTCTACTGCCGCTGATCCCCATATTGTACATGTGTCTGTTCAGTCCACAACGCCCTGTGAGTGCTCGTACTAGTGTGCGAAGGTGATTTTTGGTTAAATTTAAGGCCTCTGATGCCGCCTTTTTGTTGAAGGTTTTAATCAGGGTCTTAGAGTGTTTCATACCGGGAGTGTTTCTCCATAGTTGAATAGCTGCATAATGGCAGTATGTTTTCAAGGTTAGCTAGGTTAGGCTTTGAGGGATGCCACAGAAAGTTTCTGGTCCGATGAGGGCGTCTTTAGCACCCTTCTTCGCCAGTTTGTCCGCCTGTTCATTGCCCTCGTGTCCAGCGTGGCCTGGAACCCATCGTAGAACTACTTTGTTGTTGTTGCCCAAAGAGTTCAATGTCTGTTTGCAGTTCTCGACCAGCTTCGATCTAGTTACGTCTTAGGCTAGTGCTAAGAGTGCAGCTTGACTATCAGAGTGGATGTAGATAGTATGATTGAGGAAGTTGTTTTGCAGATTGGCTGCCGCACATTCTAAAATGGCGTACACCTCCGCCTGGAATATTGAGGAGTGTTTTCTCATGTTCAGACTTATAGCCTTCCTTGGGGCTTCTCCATAAATTCCACATCCTACCTCAGGAACGGATTTGGAGCCATCAGTGTACCACTTTAGGCTTCCATTTTTCCATACTATACGATTGTTTGACCAGTCGTCCCTGGTGGGTATCTCCACAAGATATGACCTGTGTGAATCGACTCTCGGGGGCATGGTGTCAGAAGGCATCCCCAGGATAGGTATATTGCATATTGAGTCCTTCAGGTTCCTCAAATTACCTGACAGCCATGTCTTCGCCTCCATGCTGGTAATCCTGTACATACTAGCCCTCGCCACCATTTCAATGTGTAGATGTAGGGGCGGCAGGTTTAGCAGAGCCTCAAGGGCAGCAGTCGAGGTGGAAGACATAGCTTCTGTTACTATAAGACAAGCCCCATCTATTTCCCGCTAGCCGACAACATATCATCAGAGCTGTTTTAGACTTACGTATAATTCCGTCTACATGTGCGTTCCAGGTAAGTTTCTGGTCCAGTGTTACCCCCAGATACTTGACCTCTGTCGAGAACGGAATGAGCCGGAATGAGCATTCATGGTCGGTGGCGAAAGCTTGTCCAGTTTTCGTTTCCTTGTAAATGGAACGACCACGGTTTTGCCTGCATTAATCGACAGATTATTGTCTTTACACCATGAGTTAATTGTGTTCAGCGCCCTCTGCATAAGGTACGATAGCATACTTTGGCAGTTTTCTCTCACTATCACCACCAGGTCATCGGCATAGCCCAGGGTGTCAAAGTGGAGTTCAGTCATCTTATGGAGAAGCTGGTCCACCGCAAGAGTCCATAGTAGCGGAGAAAATACTCCACCTTGCGGACATCCTCTTGTTGTTGCTAACTCTAGTGAATCATTGAGTAGTTCCATCCTCACTGTCCTACTCTCTAGCATGGCTCTTATCCATCTTACAGTAGTGGAGTCATTCTCTTTATGGACTAATCCTCTTACTAATGTCTCGGTAGGCGTGTTATCGAACGCTCCTTCCACATCAAGAAAAGCAACGAGTGCTATTTCTTTATCGTCCAGTGCTTTTTCAACCTTGTCTATAAGGTTTAGTAGGGCAGTCTCCGTAGATCTGCCGCTTCGGTAGGCGTGCTGGGTATCATGTATGGGTTTGTTGATGAGACTCCCTTGTTTGATATAATTGTCTAATACCTTCTCCATGGTCTTCAGAAGAAATGACGTAAGGCTGATTGGCCTGAAGGACTTTGGTGATGTGTAGTCCTTCTTTCCAGCTTTAGGTATGAACACGACTTTCACCTTAGTCCACGGATCTGGAATGTATCCCCAGGCGAAACTGGCTCTGAAGATTTTTACCAGATAAGGGATGAGATTGGCAGCACCCCGCTGTAAAAGCACCAGGGCTACGCCGTCAATTCCACCAGATTTAAAAGGTTTGAACAAGTTAATGGCCCATTTCACTATTCCAGGCCTAATATCGAGAGCGGCTCTTCTCCAGTCCTCTGGTAGAGGCCTTCGAAGAGTGATCGCTAGAGTCTGGCAAGCGAAACGTGTCACAAGAAAAGGGCGGCAATTTCAAAAATTCTTAAGCAGTAAACACTGAATGTAGTACTGCAAAATAATTTTGATACTTTTATTAATTATATTTAATCTTAACATTTAGATATCAATTAAAATTATTTGTTTTGGAACATTTGACTAAAGCGTGACTGTTCTTAATTGTACAGTTAACAGCATATCAGTAGGCCTATTCACTAACTCAACTGACAACCAAGAATCGTCATCACCGTAAAAAATAGACACTTTGATTGTGTCAAAATCACTATTTCGTATTCTCTATCAATGATGAGCAATTTCGAAATGTCAATATCGGCATTCTCCACTGGACTCCATTTTGACACTTGATTTCGTATCGATAAACTGTATTAAAGTAACATTGTTGCAAAGCAAAGCATATTTGAAGTCGTCGCATAGTACCTCTTAAGCCATTTGTTGTTAAATTAAAGCGAAAAAAAATACGTATCCAATATTTTTCTATTATCTGACTGACGGACTAAATCGAATCTTTTTTTTAACCCATTCGTTATACCTATTGGCTAACAGCACTTATAATATTAAAAATTCATATTTGTCATTAATTAAAAGGGTGTTTTTTGCAACGACTTCTTTGTTTT